ACAGTGTAAATCATGTAAATAGCTATGTGTAAAACATGTGATAAAAAGAATCTCCATGGTTTGTGGTTAGATATGATTTTTTATCCAACTTGTGTGCTTTTATCCCTTTGCCAAGGCATGGGGCTAAAAACACACAACTCATTGAATAAAAAAATCATGTCCAACAACAAACCATGGGAGATTCTATATATATTTCTATCAATTAATAAACATATAATCCAGCCTTTCTCCACTATAATCTTGAGTTATATAGATCTATTGCTATATAGATGTCTATGTATGTTATGCTACTGTATATTCTAAACTTTGGCAGAATCCAGAATGCATGCATATCATTACAATTTATATATCTCAGTTGAGTAGAATATTCAATATATCCATTCATTTTTCAATGATATCTTAACTGAGTAGAATATTCAATATCCCTTCATCTTTCAATGATTACACTCCACAGTTGTTTACCTTATTTAACTCAAGAAAGACATTGCTTGCATTTTATTTGTAACAGAAACCCCAAATGTAACATATCACATTAACCTAAAATGATGTAACACTGAACTCTTTGACAAAGTAGATATATAAAAAAATTTTTTTTAATCATAGGGGCGGAACAGCTAAAGTCGGACAACATCGAATGTCGGACACTCTTCTTTTTCAGAATAAAATCATTACTATATTTAGTGTCGTTTGTATTTTTCTTAAGCATGTGTTAAGTATCTCTGTTTACAGGGTGTTATTGGTTGTTTCATTCAAATGTAAGTCATGAAAATGTTTGAAATAACCTCTAAAATTCGTCGGGTACATACGCATCTCACGGATCCGGATAAAAACTCGCATGCACAACACATAGTGATCCTTGGCGAAATCTTCAGTTTGCTGTCTGTATTCTGTGATTGCTAATATATTTTGTAATTAAAGCATACTTTTACATGATAAATATTAACTATTCCCTTAATAATAATAATTTGGTGGATATTTATTTATAAAAACCATTAAAATTAAACTGTCCGACTTTACATTCTGGGTCATTTAAAGTCGGACAGAGGAGAATTTAAAGTCGGACAACACACAATACATTGTTTTTTAATTGTCAATTTTCTTAAAAACTAGAACAATTTATTAACATTTCGAAAAAAAAATTTAAAAATACGGTATGGGATGGGATTTGAACCCGGAACCTTATTATGTAATATAATTTACCGGTAATTTAAGAGTATTTTCGCTTTTGCAATTCAAATTCTGCATGCTGATTCCCTGCAACTTTTAGGAAGGAAGAAATAAAAAAAGATACATCTACCTAAAGAAATTTTCATTTCAGAAAAACAATGAAAAACACCTATAAAACCAAAAAACATCTCGAAGAATTTTAACAGAGAAATGAGAAATATTGGAACTGAGGAAAATAAAAGAAGAAAAGGCCGCGAAAAAGTCTAAAAAAAAAAATCAACACAAATATTTTTTTTCACGGCTTTATTTTAGTTTCATGTTTATAACTCGGCACTCAGTTTCATTGTTTATTTTGAAAAAAAAGAACTTTCCTTGTTGAAAAATAAAATTAGTTCCATAGATTACTGATTCCACTTTAAAGATTGAGGGATATATAGTTTTCTCCTTTCCGGCTATCTGTCTTATAATCATTATATAATAAAATGGGTTTAATTTTGGAAACAATTTAAACCTTAAAATTTATTCACACAATAACGCATTGGTTTATAGATCGCAAGATACTATATGTTCATTTAAATTTCTTGGTCTAAATGGAAAGTTTATCTAAATAATCCATACAATGACTACTAAGTTTATTACGTAATAATCACTTAAATGTTCACGAAGTTTGCCCAGGCACGTAGTATCGTATTTGAAAGTGGGGGGAGGGGGCAGCCAAATGAAAAAAAAAATCAACTTACCTGAAGAAAAAAAATGACGAGCAAAAAAAAAAAAAAAAAAAAAAAAAAAAGGAGGGGGGTAATTGTCCAAATTCAAAAATCCTATTTCGGGGGTTAGTTGGAGGGTTCCAACTTCTTTCAAAACCAAATTTTATTCATACATTACCAGATTACCCTGATTTGACTATACTGCAACAAAAAAAGGTGGTGGTGGGGCAACCAGCCTTTCATTGAAAATTTTCAATGGTGAAAAGTAATGCTTGGGAAAAAAGTGAGCCCCCCCCCCCCCCCCCCCCCCCCCCCTACGTGTCCTACTCTCTAACTATGATTTAGCCTTAAAAAAAATGAAGAAAATTGGACTTTAAATGTCGAAACCAGTATGTGTCCGACTTAAAATTCTACATGTCCGACTTTCACTGTCGATGTCCGACTTTATCAGCCCTTTCCCTGACCGTGTTTGGTTTTGATTTATAACATTACAAAGCTTTTAACCAATGAAAATTAAGAATAGAAAGAGGGTAAAAAAATCATTTTATGTGATGTAAAAGTTTCCGGTTATATGTGAAGAGTTTGGAGCGTTTACCAAAGGTGCAGACGAGGGGGTCCGAAAAACCGTCCGACTTTCGCTGCCTCTCCCCTACCATTACTTTTTCTCAAGTCATAAAATTACGTACTTTGATTGCACATGATAAATAAGATACCTCTATTTGGTAGTTCATCCTTGCCGTATGCAGATTAAAAATTATCATTTGTACATGTTATTGAGTGATATAAACACAAATTAATAAGCATGCACATTTATTTTTAATTTGTATTTTCTTTTTAAAAAAAAATTAAAATAAAAGCAAAACCCCCCATGCATGCATTTACCCACAGTATAAAAAAATTATTGGAGTAAATGGAATAATATGAATATATGTTATTGGCCTCACATTTGCCGTATTATAATATGTTAATAGAAAAAATAACCAATTAAAAAATATTCATAACAAAGATAAAAGATGAACATACTTGCAACTTACAATGCTAACCTATTAAAAAATATTCATAACAAAGACAAAAGATGAACATACTTGCAACAATGCTAATACTTGGCAAATGTGAAGCTTGGCTAATATCAAGCATAATGATATAGGGCCTTTATAAAAGTACAGTACTGTCCTAATTCAATTTATATTATATCCAATATGCCTGTTATTTTGTAGCTCTTTACGCCCACTAGTGGTAATTGTGAGCCGGTGTGTATTTTTTGTCGGTGGATTTCATTGGTTGACAGTTAAAGGCGAACATCACTCGGCCAAGGAGGCCCCCATTATAGTTCTTGCACCTCATTCCTCATTTTTAGATGCCCTTGCCATCGTCTATCTTAATTTGTCCACAGTTGTTGCCAAACAGGAAACCGCTCTTGCGCCAATCATCGGAAGTATGTTTTTTTTTTAAGTTTTCAAAATTCCTGGGTATGTTTCACTTCCATTTTTTTTTTTTTTGGACTCCAAATGTGGAAAATTTTGGAAGTTTATTGTTGTTGAAAGTGGGCTAAAATTTTTAGAAGTCCTTTGTGTAGTTGTACATAAGAATGATGAGATATTTAAAAAAAAAAACAGGAAAAAACCCAATATTTCATCTTTAACGACCTTTCGTAAAATGTTGCAAGCCTGTTATTGTATGTGTACATATATATATATATATATATATATATATATATATATATATATATATATATATATATATATAGTTTTTGAAAATTTATCATTGCACAAATTTCCCTGTCATTAAATAACTGAAAATATGTAACATATCTAAGTCAGTAGGAGTTGTTTCCCTTGAAAACATTGACATTTAATGATTTAATATAATTTCTTTATTGAATATTTAGAATTTAAATATATAGGCATTTTACAAGTTAAATAAATGAATCATACTGTAACATGTGCAGCAAATATATCCTTTTCATATAGGGCCTACCATAGGTATATGTATTGTATCATTTTTGCAATCGGTAATGTTCAAGGGAGACAACTCATGGAAATTTTAAAACCTTTAAAGAACATCACTTAGTTAAGGATGCATGAGGTTCCCTTGCTCACATGTAGAAAGCATACGCAAAACATAGCAAAGAGCACATTGTTCAGATATTAATGTTAGAAATTGTGAAAAATAGATATTGAATAATGGGTAATTTATGCTGTTGTCAATTGGTTATGGAAATTAATGTTTCTGTCAAAAATTAAAAAAAAAAATGCAAGACATTCAGATCATAATATCTTTACATTCTAAATTGAATGGCTAAAATTGCAAATGCAAAAACCAAAGTGCCATTTTTAGAGGATCAAATTTGAAAAAATTTCAAGAAGCAGACACAACCCATTATATTGTATTTTTTTCATGTTTCTATTAAAATTTCAATAGATGTGATGTATTCCTTTGTGATGTGAATTTTGGAGCTTTTTTTTTTCTTTTGCAAATCTCATTTGCATGTCGCAGCAAAGAGAGCCATATTCCTATTGATTTTGGGAATAGCAGTAGTCATATTTAATTGTAATATTTGCATTTAAGGTTAACTGTGCTCTAGTAGCTTTGTGATGTTTTCGTTTGCTACTAACCTTAATTTCCCCCCTAACCTGAAGTGCTATATTAACAAAACCAATCTTTGTTCATTGTTATGGCATATGAAAATCATGCAGTCTTTAAACTTTTCAATGTATTGTTATGCCAAAAAAAGAAAAAAATGCACTTATATTGGTTCTTTTTTCAAAAATTGGGAGACAGAGAGTTTGAGAATGATTATCATGTTTTTCTAAGTCATTTTAATTATCAAGATTTATTCTAGCCAGTGCTTTATAAAAATAAACATAGATTCCAAAAAACTTAAAAAGAAAATAGAGTTTGAACAGGACCAGTACAGATTTTTTTTATTGAAAAAAAATATTGCAGAGTGAAACATTTCATTTTGGATTTAGAAAATAAAAAGATTAATGTTTTTATTAATGTTATGTCATAATTTTAAGATGGAGACAAAAAAAATGAAAATAGAAAAGATGATTCTTATTCTCAACTATGTTTGCTCTTGCATGTTAAATAGATATTGTACTTTTTCTTGTCCTTTTTGATCAGGTTCTTGATGAGACCAATGATAATGGTGGGGAGAGCTGGTATATTTTGTTCAAGTTTCCATAACGTTAAGATTAAAGGTCAACCATCAACCGCCAAGGAAGCACCCCTCCTGATAGTGGCCCCCCATTCCAGTTTTTTCGATAGTCTTGTATTATTTTATTGTTCGGAATTTCCATCAGTGGTGTCTAAGAAGGAAATCTCCTCCCTTTTCTTAGTGGGAAGTACGTATTGCCGTTCTGTGGTGAATTAAAAAATCTAATGTGTTTATTGCATGTTTAACCAAATATTTAACTCTGTTTTGGAGAGTTTGTGATATTTAAGAAGTTTTAAGATGTTTTTATCACTCAGTTTACTTAGTTTGATTAAAAATTTTCCAGTTGAATTACAAATAATACAATGACACAAATTTATATTGACAGTATACTCTCCAGTAGCATATAAACTCAATATTATACATTCAGGTTTAAATAATCTGCACATTGTATTACTGGGACATAATTATATGGTACTTTAACATTATATATATAGCCCAAGATGTACTTAAGCTTGAAATTTGAATTACCCAAGAACATGGAAACTCAAAACTCTTAAATTAGGATAAGCCATCTTGACAATGCTATGTATTACATGGACTTGCATCCCTTGAATTTAGTGAAGAGAAATACTGTACCTAATTCTGAATGTTGTATTCATAGTGTATTCTCTTTTGATATGCCGGTATAACCTAAGTACTTGATGGGGGGGGGGGGGGGGAGTAGGCAACTTAGTATATCTGGGTCTTTTACGTATATATTTAATTTTGTGTTTTTATGTACACTGTGTTTCACAGGAAACTTATGAGGATTAGGTAGTTAGCAATATGGTAGGTTTTCCTTTACAGTTAAAAGATAGCTCATTGGGTTATATCCTGTTGATTTATAATGGGTAACATTAACGGAATGTGAGAAGATCATCAAACTCTTGGTTCACTTGAGGTTACCTTATCCATGTAACTTGAGGATGTTAATGTTGAAAGGAAATGTAATTTTAGTACACTACACTGATCTTCCTTAAGTAAGTTTTAAAGAAATTAAACAAAAGAATAATAATAAAGGTTTATATAACCTTAGAGTGAATGTAAAGCTAGCTTGGTTTTAGACCCTGCATCTAGAATTTTGAAATTGAGTTTAAAAAAATTTCCTCCTAGGATAGTCATTGTGAAGTACATATAATTTATAAACATATCCACATAATTTTTTCAAAAAAAGTATTTTCAATTTCTTGGACACTAATTAGACATAAAATACCATGGCTAATTGAACCCCCCCCCCCCCCCATCCCCAAGATTTTGTTTACCATCCTATTCTTATTCATGGAGGTTGTTAAGTAGGCCAGAGCTTCAAAAAGATGCAATTTTATTGTTTTGTTTTTTGGTTTTTTGGTTTGTTTGTTTTTTTTTGCCATTTTACATGTAGAGAGACCAGGGTTTAGAAATGCTTGGTAGATTAACCTCCAGGCCCCATAGGAAAATCAAATAACCCTGCATGGTTGTTGTTTGTAAAGGAAATAGCATGTCATGTAACACTATAGCCCTGCACCTGTATTCATAGTTACTGATTTGGGGAATGCATGCTGGGAAGGGACAAAGAACATGGAAATCCATTTTAATTTTAATAATATTTCAGAGATGAAACTTAAAATCAGGAGCTTGTGAACAAGTCTAAGCTTGTTCATGATGAAGTATTTAAACCCTTCCAGTAGCATTGTTACTATAGTATTTTACACACACTTAAATTGATTGTTAATTGTAAATGATAAAAATATAGGGGGATGCTTTAACATGTTTATATGGTACTGAGAACAAAAATCATATATGACAGTCTTATGAAGAAATGTGTTTTCTTGAAGTGAATCAAATTGTGTCTGGAGAGCCAAATTTTGTTACTAACTAATGCTGTTATTATTTTTCTCAGTGAAAATGTTTTGTTGTTAATGGTTACAGATAATGATTGCAAGTAATTGCTAGGTTTTTAACATCATCAGTGAGACAAATACCTCTTTTAGAAGTCAAAAGAAGTCAAATTATTGATGTTTATTGCAATCATAGTAAACAATATGTATGCAGTTCAAATATCCTTTCATGCAATAACAAAAGTATGTTTTATATAATTATATTTGTATCTAATTAGCTCTCATAGAGTATACACAGCCAGTGCTAGTCAAAAGAGAGGATCCCAATTCCAGAACCAACACAATCAAGGAAATTCACAGAAGAGCTCATTCTGGGGGAAAGTGGCCCCAAATCATCATCTTCCCTGAGGGAACATGTACAAATAGAAGTTGCCTTATTAATTTTAAATCTGGTAAGACACTTGTAGGAGAAGGAAAACGTGGAAGGAATCACAATATTAGTTTTACAAACTAGTGTATTATGACACTAATTGTTCAATTGTAGCATACAGTTAAACTTCAGTATTTAGACCATTAATATGTTGAATGTATGAGGTATGTTGAAGTGAGTTGGTGAACATGATTTGATTATAAATGAATACAAATCTAAACTTTGATATACTTAACTCTTGGATATTTCACAGTTACCTCGTGTTTGAGATATCAAGCTCTGCCCATACAGTATGTGGCTTTATTTGTTAATTAATGAAGTACTAAATGAATCATTGAGTAAAAAAGCATTTACATTACATCGTACTCGCAGCAGCCATGTTCTGGTGGTCTATGTTTTTCTCAGTAAATACTCTTTTCAGTTACTATATTAAATGTTATTTTTTTGGTGTGCATTATAGGTGCTTTTTATCCAGGCTCCCCTGTGCAGCCTATATGTATACGATACCCAAACCAGTTTGTAAGTTTTATTTTAATCCAAAATGTTAGAACTCCACTGTGCATTTTTAGCTCTACTGGTCAGAGACCAGAAGAGCTTATGCGATAGTAAGGTGTCCGTCGTCCGTCCGTCTGTCTGTCTGTCTGTCTGTCCGTCTGTCTGTAAACAATTTTTCAAAACGCTACTCCTCCTACAGTTATGGTCCGATTTCAATATAACTTGGCACACAAGTAGACTACACTAAGATACATAATTTAGTGCATCGGTTTTTGATTTCGATGGACGGTGTTGCCATGGTTACTAAAAATAGAAATATCTGTGAAATTTCTTTAAAACGCTACTCCTCCTACAGTTTTGGTCTGATTTCAATATAACTTGGCACACAAGTGGACTACACTAAGATACATAATTTAGTGCATCGGTTTTTGATTTCGATGGACGGTGTTGTCATGGTTACTAAAAATAGAAATTTCTGTGAAATTCCTTTAAAACGCTACTCCTCCTACAGATATGGTCCGATTTCAATATAACTTGGCACACAAGTAGACTACACTAAGATACATAATTTAGTGCATCGGTTTTTGATTTCGATGGACGGTGTTGTCATGGTTACTAAAAATAGAAATTTCTGTGAAATTCCTTTAAAACGCTACTCCTCCTACAGTTTTGGTCCGATTTCAATATAACTTGGCACACAAGTAGACTACACTAAGATACATAATTTAGTGCATCGGTTTTTGATTTCGATGGACGGTGTTGCCATGGTTACTAAAAATAGAAATTTCTGTGAAATTCCTTCAAAACGCTACTCCTCCTACAGTTTTGGTCCGATTTCAATATAACTTGGCACACAAGTAGACTACACTAAGATACATAATTTAGTGCATCGGTTTTTGATTTCGATGGACAGTGTTGCCATGGTTACTAAAAATAGAAATTTCTGTGAAATTCCTTTAAAACGCTACTCCTCCTACAGTTTTGGTCCGATTTCAATATAACTTGGCACACAAGTAGACTACACTAAGATACATAATTTAGTGCATCAGTTTTTGATTTCGATGGACGGTGTTGCCATGGTTACTAAAAATAGAAATTTCTGTGAAATTTCTTTAAAACGCTACTCCTCCTACAGATATGGTCCGATTTCAATATAACTTGGCACACAAGTAGACTACACTAAGATACATAATTTAGTGCATCGGTTTTTGATTTCGATGGACGGTGTTGTCATGGTTACTAAAAATAGAAATATCTGTGAAATTCCTTTAAAACGCTACTCCTCCTACAGTTTTGGTCCGATTTCAATATAACTTGGCACACAAGTAGACTACACTAAGATACATAATTTAGTGCATCGGTTTTTGATTTCGATGGACGGTGTTGCCATGGTTACTAAAAATAGAAATTTCTGTGAAATTCCTTCAAAACGCTACTCCTCCTACAGTTTTGGTCCGATTTCAATATAACTTGGCACACAAGTAGACTACACTAAGATACATAATTTAGTGCATCGGTTTTTGATTTCGATGGACAGTGTTGCCATGGTTACTAAAAATAGAAATTTCTGTGAAATTCCTTTAAAACGCTACTCCTCCTACAGTTTTGGTCCGATTTCAATATAACTTGGCACACAAGTAGACTACACTAAGATACATAATTTAGTGCATCAGTTTTTGATTTCGATGGACGGTGTTGCCATGGTTACTAAAAATAGAAATTTCTGTGAAATTTCTTTAAAACGCTACTCCTCCTACAGTTTTGGTCCGATTTCAATATAACTTGGCACACAAGTAGACTACACTAAGATACATAATTTAGTGCATCGGTTTTTGATTTTGATGGACGGTGTTGCCATGGTTACTAAAAATAGAAATATCTGTGAAATTCCTTTAAAACGCTACTCCTCCTACAGTTTTGGTCCAATTTCAATATAACTTGGCACACAAGTAGACTACACTAAGATACATAATTTAGTGCATCGGTTTTTGATTTCGATGGATGGTGTTGCCATGGTTACTAAAAATAGAAATTTCTGTGAAATTCCTTTAAAACACTACTCCTGCTACAGTTTTAGTCTGCTTCTAATATAATTAGGCATACAAGAAGACTATACTAAGATACATAATTTATTGCATTGGTTTTTGAATTCGATGAACAGTGTTGCCATGGTTACTTAAAATAGAAATTTCTGTGAAATTCCTTTAAAACGTTACTCCTCCTACAATTTTGGTCTGATTTCAATCTAATTTGGCACACAGTTAGAATACACTACGATACATAATATGTATTTCTGTTTTTTTTTTATTTGGGTGAGTGGTGTTGTCATGGTTACCGGTACTAAAAATAGAAATTTCCGTGAAATACTTTCAAAACGCTACTACTCCTAGTTTTCATTTGATTTCAATATAACTTGTCTCAAAAGTAGACTACATTAAGATACATAATTCTATTTATTGTTGCATGTTGCAATGTTTCTAATCCAAGTGCTACTTTTCTTTTGTTATACAAACAGACCAGTAGAGCTACAGTCTCATCAGAGACTTCTGGTTTAATAGATGTCTCTATTATAATGTATAACATTTACAAAATCAGATCTAAAAGATATGATATTTATTTCTTTTTTCTATGTATTAATCTAAGGTGGATAAATGATGAGGTTACTTGGTTTTAAGTAGTTAAAGATACCTTGAGCATGCAGCCAGAGACATGTAAAATCTAAAGGACTCTTAGTAGTGCAGGTGCATTATTTAACTTACTTATGTATAATATATGTTTTCAGGAGTTATTCTAGACTTTTTTTTGCATTTCAGGACACTGTGACATGGACATGGGAAGGGCCTGGGGCGTAAGTTTCAATTTAAAAAATAATTGTACTTCTTAAAACAAAATTTTCATCTTATTTTTTCTTCGAAAAAAATTAAGCGGTTGAACAATGAATATTTCATATGGATTTGTCATGCTGATAAGAAGGGAAGACTTTGAAGCATGACTTTCTCCTTTGTTATTGTATATATGAATTCAGTGACTTGTAAACTAATTGAATAATATGGTGAAGTTCACATTTTTCTTTTTCTCTTTTCCAGCTTTGCCTTGTTATGGTACACATTGTGTCAGTTTCACACAAAGTGTGAAATTGAGGTTAGTATCTAAAGAGTGATTCTAATAAAATTTCTATATTTTGCCTGCCCTCTATATAAATATTGAAATAGTATACCATACATGTAATTATTAGAGTCCAAACTTTAAGTGGAGAAGGAGTGTACATGTAATTGGGACTTACTTGAATATAATTGTTTGGTTCAAGAGGAGTGTGTTTTTATTGTTGTATCTCTATGTTCTCTACCTGTAGTTTTTACCTGTGTATACTCCATCCGAAGAAGAAAAGAAGGATGCTGCATTATTTGCAGCCAATGTCAGGGCGACAATGGCAGAGTGAGTAGTTGGCCTAGTTCAAATATTTGATACAGAGAAAAGCTTAACCAACCCTGCAGTGGAACTGATTTTGGATGGAATCTATAGCCACAGTAGCAACTATAGTGGAAAACTCTCTTGCTTCCCTCAAAAATTCTATTCCCTCTTTAAAATAATAAACCCAAAGATAAAACATGAACACTGTGGTATAGGGCCAATAAAATTATGCAAAATATTTGTACCGTATTTGGCTGAATATAATACGCACTTTTTTCCCAAAATAATTTTTTGTGAGAAAGGGGTGCGTATTTTACACCACAATGGGATTTTGATAGGTTTTTCTTTCATGTGAAACACGGCTATCATACGCACATACCGTAGTATTACCTGGAGACTTAGGCAATTTCTTGCTGTTTATCGCCGTATTTAAAACTTCAGAAAGTTATTGTTGGAATGTAGGCTTGTTAAAATGTTATATTTATAACCTTTTGATAGTTAAATTAAATTTAAAAGCAAGTTAAAATTAATTTGAGCTACATGTTCATCGGATGTTATTTATAGGTGTTCACACATTCCTTTGCCACGTGCTTCCGTAATCATAGTACACATGTACCTAATCAGTCAGACACTCGGTTAAAAAAGTAATGTCATTTTTTAATGAAATACAATACAAAAAAATTTATTTTAGGTTTTAAATAACTCAGTGAAAATTCATTTCATTATAAACACCCCTCTATACGTCCCAATGAATGGAAGCCAACGTTGTGAACACATGCGCTTGACACTTGATAATTACCCCTCAACACCCCTCCAGGCAATTAAATTGTTTACCGACTCCAAAGCATTGTTTTTACAGTTAGAGCACTGATCATTTTTCACAGCTTTGGAGGTGTGTTGATAACTACTATTTTTAAAAGCTTGTTAAATTTTGATTTTATAACATCAGCTTTTATTTAATTAATTAATTTCAAGTTCAAAAGAGGAAAATCGTAGTCTATGAATACTTTGATGTTGAAATATCGCTTGCCCTGTTAAATATACATAATTTTCAATATGATTACCTTAAACTAAAAATAAATATGACAACTGTTAAACTTGCAACAATATCTCGTGCTTTGTTGAAATAAAATTATTTCCACAAAGAATAGTTAGTATACGGCGACGTATAATTTCAATATCACCGTGTGCTAAAAAAATTAATAATAAACTCTGTTAATACTTTAATGCAATATTATCTCGTGCTTTGTTAAAATAAATTATTTCCTCCAGATTGCCGCGATATGGAAAGTCAACATTAAGAAATAAAAACACATTTGAATAAAATACTGTGTTCTGTAAATTTTCGGCACTTTATATCCGCGCCATTTTCATAGCAAATTACCGCGATTTTCAAAAGTTCAGAACACCGCTTGGTAAAATTTTCTGCTGCGTATAATACAACCGAACTGCGTTTTTTCCCCTAGTTTCAGGCTCAAAAAGGGGGGTGCATATTTTACACCAATTAAGGAATGTTTTTAGTTTTGTGTGAGTTATTGGTGTGTAAATCACACAGACTTGTCACGTAGGCATATTTCATGAAGCGCGCTAGCGCTTCATGAAAAATATGCCTACGTGCAAGTCTGTGTGATTTACACACCAATAATTCACACTAAACTGAAAAACATTCCTTATATTTACATTTTACAAGTTCAAAAGCAACAATTTTATGCTCAATATTTGAATTTCTTGCTGCCCTATATCGTTACATTTTTATTAATGTCTCTGTAGCCTCATTGTGACGTCACTTTACCACGAGTTTCACCGTGTATATTTCTACGCGTGAGTATACACAAAAATGAACTTCAAATCAATTGCACAGTTGGCTTAGTAGAAAAACATAGCAAATGTAAATATTGCGTATTATATTCGGCCAAATAGGATACTTGAAAAGGTCTGGCAGTGGAATTATAAATCCTTTCTTTATTTTATATGTTTGAGTAACCAAATTAAAGTCAGCATCAAAGGCATTGGAATTTGATTTGTTGATAGTAGATAATGTTTCTGCCTCCTTTTTTCAGAGCCCTTGCTATCCCTGTCACTGATCATTCCTATGATGACTGCAGATTGATGCAGAAAGCAGCCAAACTCAAGCTCCCCAAAGCTGCAGGACTTGTCGAGTTTATGAAGTTAAACAAAAAACTAGGGTATGATTTCGTCACTCAAATAACCTTTAAAGAAAAGAGAGGTTGCAATCACAGACTAAGTTCTGATAATTGTTTATTTTACAACATCGACCCACCTATTAACCATTATCTAAACTGTTCATAAACTCAAAAATACTGCCAGTTAACAATTAGTGAGCTTTTTGCATGAGTAAGCTTTTTTGCAAGGAGATCCAGATGTTAATTTTTCTAGGCCTCCAATGAATACTGTGGAATCATTGTAATTTTTGGTCAAAGTTCATGGGTAACCATCTCAGATTGTTTTTTCATGAGTAAACTTGTATATACAGAAGATTCAATGAACTGATAAGTAGATTAGGGGGATGTAAATTTGTGGTTAAGGTTGACCCACAAAATCTTCAAACATTGATCCCCCACGATCAATAATTTCACAGTATAAAATAAATCAATCATAAACTATTAGTAAGAACTTACAGAAGCAAAGTATAATGTGATGTTAATCAACTGTGAATTGGTCTCTTGTTTTTAAGGTTGAATTTTGATGCAGCCAGTGAACTGTTAGATAGATTTTATGCTATTGCCAAGAACAGTGATGGAAAGATTACATACGAAGAATTTGCAAATTATCTACGTTTGCCTAAGTCTGATGCACTGGAAGAAGTCTTCTCACTTTATGATCGGGTAAGTAGAAAAAAAATGATTTTCAGTGATGCAGATTTGATTTACTTATGGCAAAAAAAAATGGTCAGAAAAGTAGCTTGGAATGCTTTTATATTCATAGATTTTTCAAGGCACTTTGGTAGGTACACCGTTATTTCTTCAAGCAAAGAATTGCACTTGTAAGAATTGAAGAAAGACTGTCAAGCACTAAATTCCCCCTCCACCTCCATGTCCATTATTCCAACCCCTAAAATCCATGCTTGTACATGTACATGTATATTTTACATATGTAGCCTATCATGGATACATGTAATATATAAAACTTTAGAGGACTAAAGTACTGAAGTAAATTGTTTACTGAAACCAATGTGCAAATATAGAATGTGACTTTCAAAAGCATGGCAACTAAGATGAAGTATATGTATATCTTTTGTAAGAGGAGTTTCTTTTATGAATGTTTGAATCTAAATTAAAATTAAATATTTAAACAATTATTTTGAACAGAAAAAATATGGTATTCTTTAGAAGTGATATATGTGAGGTATTATACACACACATTTTCAATTGCATCTTTATAATATGGGACAACCATGAAAGTGACTGTAGGGAAAACCACGAAAGTGACTGTAAATTGCATATTAGAGAGTTATTTTTCTTTATTCATTTCAAGCATAGCTCTGATAGATGTTTTTATCCTACCAAAAAAAAAAAGAGAAAGAAATGAAAGAAACTATACAAAAAGTGTATACGGTAATGAGTTATAGAAATATAGTTGAATATGGCTGAAAAACGAAAAAATTCAGTATTCACGAACATTCCAAGCTCTGATAGATGTTTTTATCCTACCAAAAAAAGAAATAAAAGAAACTATATGAAAAGTGTATATGGTAATGAGTTATAGAAATATAGTGTTGAATATGGCTGAAAAACGAAAAAATTCAGTATTCACAAACATCCCAATTACTTGATATTGTCTTTCAAACCTTTCCTTAAAAATGGTAAATGAATAATTACCTATATGCTGTTGAAATGTTTGAACAAATATGTAAGTTTTTTTTTAGGATGAATATGTTATTGTGAAGTTTTCTTAATTTGTGACGTTAAAATAATTTATTCATGATTAGTTCAGTATTATTGGTATGGAAGACATACATGTATGATGTCAAAATAGGATGAAATTTATTCATGTTACTTGAAATTTCCAATGTAACCTATTTCAGAATGTGTCAGTATTCTCCTTCTTTATCTCTCTCTCTCTGGAAAAATATGAATATGATGGAAATAAGATATGATAATTAGTGCTTCAATACTTTAAGAAAAGGAGTCTATATATAAAGTTTATGTTCAGTAAATGACAGAATGATTGTTACGATTAATTACAGGATGGATCAGGAACAATCGACTTCAGGGAGTACGCAATAGGGCTGTCTCTAGTATCCTCTCCTGAAAACACAGAGGAAACCATTCAATTCGCATTCCAGGTAAAAAAAATCAGTGTAGGAAGAACAGGTTTTCTACATGCATAAAATGAGGATATATTTTATGACATAATTGGGTTTTTTTTTTTTTGAATGTTCATTATTCATTAAAAACATAAAATTCAGAGGTTGGCCAAGGCACAGGTAGTAAAAGTATTTTATTATATCCCTGACGAGGAGGAATGTAAAATTCTTTAGTCTTAAGTGTAATAAGTCATAAACATTGCAAGTTTGCAGCAATTTCATCTCCCAAATTTAATTAAAGATATACATGTACAAGTATTTTGTGCTATTTAAACAAATCTACTTTGACCGATTTTGGTTATTTTCCATTTATTTTCACTTTCTGCCTAAAACAGCTTTTTGATGAGGGAAACAAAGGATACATTACCAAGCCAGAGCTTGGACAAATTCTGCATAATGCTTTCAACATGGATGGGCTTGACTCGGATGCTCTGTTTGATGAGGTTGACGTGAATCAAGATGGCAAAATCTGCTTTGGTATGGCAGTTTTTTCTTCACATTATTTTCTTCAGATTTTTGTCTAGTCATGAAATACAATAATACGAACTAATACATTCATGATTATTTCAAAGTGATGAAACTAATAGTAGGAGAAATTGTTGGCAAAGGACACTATTTTAATTATATCTCTACATTTATACATTTATGTAAAGTCATTCAGTCTTCATCATCACATAAGTAGTTAATAAGAGTGTGTAGGTAAAATCAAGATAAAAGCTACATAAAAAATAATTTCCCCATTGACAATATTCCTAATGGAAGTTGAGGGTTTTTATTAAAAAAAAAAAAACTGTGCATATAATGTTGTACCAATGAATAGAATTACATGGTGTATGATACATGTGTTTGTGGATATGTTACTCTTACATAGTAATGTCCCCTTTCAGATGAGTTCAAGAAATATGTAGCGGAGAGACCAGAATATTTACCTGTTTTAAAGAAACACATAGAATTGACAAACAATGAATTTGACGATGATATTGGTCTATTGTGTGTTTCAAATTTTCTTCAATTCCTTAAAAGACAAAATGCTGTATATAGCTCTATTTTCACCTCATTTTTTCTTCTTACTGTTTTGTGGTTGGATATAATCATGAATTTATTAATGTGGTTAAAATCATTTTTGTGATAATATATATGCAGAATAAGGACAAAAAGTCATCATTCTCAAAATTGAGCAAAAATTTAAACATGAATTGAATGAAAATCCATGCAATATACAGTATCTGTTTAAAGTTACTAGTTTGTATTTCTTGTGTTACTGTTGTTTTTTTCTATATTTAGAGAGTACAGCATTCAACTGTTAGATTATTTTAAATTCTGTCTTTTCCTTAATTATTTTGAATTACAATTGCATTTTACCCTCCCACTGGACAATAAAAACAAATACTCTCAAAGCACATTAATTTCTAGTTATTGCTACTGCAGCATTTGATATAATTACGGAACTAGTGAAAATGAATGCTTTCAGTCGAACTATTCCCTGCAGAAAAATATTTTAAAAAGAACAATCCAAAGATATTTGGCCTATGAAATTAACGTGTACTTAATACCTCATATTGTAAGAAAAAAATTTGAAGGAAGAAGGCATCAACTACAGTCAAACCTCGCTATCTTGAACTAGATGGGATTGAGGAAAAAACTGAGAGTTATCCAAAGGTTCAAGATATTGAGGGTAAAAAAACATAGAGAAAAAATAGTTTGGGACTTTCAAATGACTTCAACATATCCATGGTATTCGAGATATCGATGTTCAGGATACTGAAGTCCAGTTGTATTAAATAATATGGGACCTTTATGTATGTTCATAACTGCTTTTACATGTGATTGGAATCTTTACCCAGAGAAGTCATTCCTTTCACTCACAAACGCTTTTGTCAGCACCTCAAGTCAAATGACTAAATTGATAGATATGAACAAAGTTACTAAATAAACTTGAACACATTGATCTAAAATGTAATGTGTATTTAAATGCAAAAACTTTTGTTGATTGTTTTTGTTTACCTCAGATAGAATGGACATTATTAAAGAAATGAATTTAAAACTAAGAGTTATTTCTAGGGAATATTTAAATCTGAGATGTTGACAAAATTTATGTTAGTGAAAGGAACAACAACCCAGGGTAGCGTTTGATCTGATAGTATGAAAGAAAGTGGAATATCATTTTTACCACCTACCGGTAATTTTATGGAATTTGTTCCAAGTCATATGAAGTATTGAAATGTTCATTAAAGTTATTTTATTGATGTTCATTAAATTTCTTTTGATAATTTATTTTTACCAGATGAGTTTTCCCAGCATGCCATGAAGAAGCCAGAATATGCAAAGTTGTTCAAGACCTACCAGGATGCAAAAACCAATGGTCATCAGAAACAGGAATGAAAACTGCCCAGGAGGCAGCAGCTTAGCATGTACCAAATGAGCATGTGCAGTGATAGAACAGGAAGTGACATCATTGTCAGTGATGCTGGTGCTTAGTTGTGTCTGTTTTAGTTTGTCTTGGTTTTTGTTATGACAGTATTATTGTTGTCTGTTTAATTTGGGGGTTATCTCTATGACATAGTCATGGGTTTTAATTTCTTTAAAATATGTTTTTATTTTAATATATACATATACCATAATTTCTGGAAGATAGGTTGATATTTTTCTCTCAGATGTGCTGGTCATGTCCTATTTACTGGATCAGCCTTTCTAATGCTCAGGTTTAGAAATTTGCCCAAAGTTTGTTTTAATAAAAACCTATAAATTTCAATTCAGAATTTTGCCACATTTACAGCATTTCAGAATGTCGGCAAAAAAAAAAAATATGGTAGAAGAAAAGGAAAGTATTTCTATATGTGAATTCAGTGTAAATACTGTTGTACATTCAAAATTATTAACAAATTAACATGTACAAAAAACTTAAGTGTGTCTCCAGACTAAAGTAGGAATCCATAATTACATGCTACAATTAAAAATGAAATTTGATCAGTGGGTCATCTCAGTTTGATAGTAAAAACATCACATACACTCAAACAAAATTAGGTTATCAATGTTGCACATCACATAACTTGCTGTTAAACATGTTTTGATATTCAGACTGTAAATACGCTTGTATGAAATAAATTTAGAAGCTAAGTATTTAAAAATCAAGGAATATTAATTAACTAAAATGAACATACATACTATATACATGTAGTTACCTGAGTTTTAGTAAAGCCCTTGACAGAAAATGCATTGAAAAGGCAGATAATGAATTATTCGGCTTAAACAAACTCTGGGTTATGAAAATGAACTATCCTGAGAATATCTTCAGAAAAAACAACAGTGTAAATAATTTTCATCGTTGCTCAAACTCTATAAGGATCGAGTCAGCGGAATTAGGCATTGACAAGATGGAATTATTGATATTAATTTTGAAGAAGTAAAGTACAAGAGATATAATTCTTTTTAACAATTAAAAGTAATTAAGATATCAATTTATCTTTAATATTAATATGTATCAACAATACAAATTAATGATTTCTGCCTCCCCAAACATTATAGAGCATATGAATCAGTGATAAACATTGGAATTAGCCTTGTCCTTTACTCCAAATCAATCTAAAGATTTTATAGATTTTTTGCTAAAAATGAGCCATTTGTCATTCATATATCTTCCGAAAATTATGGTATATTTTACAAAGGAAGTCAATTTTCCATATACATATAGCATAGATTTGATCTAGTTGGGTATCTAGTTTATAGGAAAATATGCCTCTACTGGGGATATAGTATGCTTGATTTAAAGCAGATAATATGTTTTCAAACTTTTGTCATCTAAATATGATGGATATGTTGATTGATCTGAATTTTTATAAACAAGGGATATAGTAACTGACCTGTCTGTTTGCCCCAGTATATGTCCATCCGTCCTCTAAGCTCAAAGTTTTTTCCTGATATACCATATACAGGATTACTTTTTCCCCATGCTATTTATGCCCTGATAATCTTGGAAACAATTTTGCCCAGTTTTAAATTGGCCCAAAAACAGTTGAATTAAAAGAGAAATTACTAATCTCTGTAGACTTCGTCTTGTTTTTGTATTCACCCATTGGCGATGAAGGCGAATAAATCAAAAATAACAGGGGGGTGAAAATTTCCCTGTATACAGTAATTCCAACATAAATATCTTTTAAGACAGAGGTTCTAAAAGACATTAATATACAATGGCGTTTCAATTATTTATTTGACTGGTCCAGAAGAAGTGGTAATAGAATTAGTAGTGGCCTTGGGGGGCATGGTGTTTCATAAGAATTTTATTGCTTTTGTTGCTTGCAAAAGCAAGGTATATACATACAGGTAACTCTTGATTGCTCGAACTTCGATCTCTCGAAGTTATTGATCGCTCGAAGTGAATCTTCGGTCCCAAATTATTCCCCTGTATAACTAAGCAAATTTACTCTTGGTTTCTCGAACTCTTGATCTCTCGAAACCCTTGATCCCTCGAAGTCAAAATGCAGTCCCGCTATGCATATTCTATTATAATTTACCCTCGATACCTCGAAGTGGCATTGTGTATACAAGGTTATATAATTAGCACCTTTACCTGGACATTTAAATGGCCCCAGGCAGAAGACGCGGGAATTGAGGAACGGGATGTTTATTCAGGTGAAACTATGCTGCAAGGTGATAATTGATTTATAATTAATCTTTTTTTTTTTACCTATATGCTATTAAAAAAATTATCATCGACTGTATTACGATAATTTAGAGACGCGGTGTCAGTGAAAAGTAGTAATTGATTAAAAGACGAAACACTAATTTAATTTTTATTTCGAGTCAGTGTCAAAGTTAAACGAAATATGAAAAAGCAGAAACAGCCTCAATGTCAATATGACGACTATTATTGGAAAAATACTTGCAGAACTGCGTTCAATGATCATGTTTAGAATAGTCAATGCTATACATGTACGACGCTGTAACATGTTGTTTTCGTGTAACGAATGCGTAGTATGATGTCCGTATTACAAAACTAAATAAATATACATGAAATGACGATATACATTTTTTGCTTTACTCAGTTTAATGAAATATTCATCTAAATTACGAAAAAATATCGTTGTTTTATAAAAACCACGTGTAAAAGGTTATCACTGCGTGAAAATCATTATATCCAGTAAGACTAATTTTAAAACCTGTCAACAAACCCGGAAAATTCCGGACTCTTGAAAACTCGAACTCTTGATCTCTCGAAGTTTTTCCTCGGTCCTGCGGACTTCGAGGTATCGAAAGTTACCTGTATATATACCTTAACAAAAATGACTGTTTTACTGCTTGCACAATGAATCTTTTTTTGCAAAATCTTGTGTATTTTCACGTTTTTTTGAATTTATATTTACACACTACAGCTAAGAGTGTACTTTCTTTAGTGATGTTTTCGTTATATATTAATTAGTATTGATTAATACTCATTTCAAAGATACATATATATAAATTATATACAACAAAAAGATAAACAGAACAATTGCTTTATATTTCCTATCTCATCAACTCTCATATTTCCATTATTTTTTCCAGAATAATTGTTTTCTCATTGTGCATATGAGAGTGGAAGCCCCCCCCCCCCCTTTAAGCTTTCATGTTCCTTTTTTTTCATATGACATTCAGGAGTTTGGCATGTTAGAGGTGGAAACGACATCATAGACATGGGATATTAACTCTAAACTATTATTTATTTTCTTAAATAACTGTATGAGAAGACATTGCTGTGTACCTGTACTTAATAACTTTTGTATAAATAGAATGAATGAATATCTTATGTACTGAATTAATGGCGAGTTGCAGTCAGGTATCTGTGAATGATATTGTAAAAGAAATACGTGTTTTTTTTGTTTTTTTTGTTGTTTTTTTTGCTTCAAAGAATCATATTCAGTAATGATAGCAGTAGTAAAATGATTTTTCTCGTTTAGATTTTCTCATCAGAATGTATTTTTTTTGCATTTTGAAAGGATCTTATGATACTTAATTGATACTTATAAAGTTTACATATTTAATTGTAAATGCAACAGATGGTACTGTGTGTACCAATCTATATTTTCATCGGTCTAGTCATTTACCATAGATGGTTTTAAAAATGTAAATACATGTTGGAATCTGTGCTTTTTTGTGGGATGTTTGTGCAATGTGAATATTTTTGATAGAGTGGGGAAAGATGTGATAGTTTCTATACCTTATATTTTATTGTAAATGAAATTTCTATTTTGAATATTTTGTAACACAGCTAATGGTGACTTGTCAGCTACGTTGCTATAAGAAGAAATCGTTGTATATATATTTTATTGTATGTGTGATCACTAGGAAAAAAGATATGTGATATTAATAGTTTCATACAGATTTAAGTACAACATTTCTGTGAAGAGCAAGTGATATCAATAATATTCAAAAAAGTACGGCAGAGAAAAACCTCAGCTGTCTGAATGATAATATAAAAAAAGTAGTAAAGAGCTACCTACTATTAGTTGATGATACTACATCATATATAAAATGGTGTTCATTTCTACTGGGTTTTTCCCCTATAATCTAGACTCAGGCCACTTGATATGATAGTTCTCTTGGACAAATATCAGCTTAAGTGTTAAGCCCTACCTGCCCCAACTTTCTATTATTACTTTCTTACTTAATACTTACTTACAGGAAATGTTAATATACATTTCATTTTCAAAAAAAAAAGTTGAATTTTAATACACTGTAAGGTGTATGAATAAGATATATACACATATACATGTATTTTTTTTTAAAGCTTCAAATTTGAATTGTTTTATCCTTCATTGTTTTCAATAACATTGAAATGAAAAAAGGGAAATCAGTTTTTTAAGTATATGTATATAAATTGTCTTATCTTCAATACCTTAGGTCATCAGATCTCATGTTGTTGAATACTTAACATTTTTGGCATCCATGACTTACCATTGTTCTTTTTTTTTAATTTTTTTTTTTTTTTGGTGATATTAGATCCTTATTTGATATTTCTGGCTCAGTTTAAACTTCAATTTTTGTACCTCAGGGTCAAAGGTCATCAGGTCTGTCTTGGCATTTTGAATATTGTTATGTCTTTACTCTTCAAATCTTCCTGTACGTTAGCAAAAATGATCTCTTTTGTTTTCTATAAGTGTGCCTGTGTCTGTGTGTGACTTTTATGATCTGTGATGTCTGTTAACAACTTTTTGGATAAATAAAAAGCTCATCTTAAAATTGCTTGTTGAAATTTTTGTAATGCCTGCAGAGACATTGAAGTGTTTTACCAGGTAAAGGAACGCAGCATATTTTCTCTGAGTAAAACAATGAAGTGGATAGTATTGCACACTCTTTGCCTCCTGAAAAAAAAAGAAAATTAGAAACTAGAGAGTTCCAAGAAACACTTATGTTGCCTGCTTTATAGCATCATTAAAGATGCAATTAAATGTAAGAGTGGTCAGCTATTTATTTGCTACTAGCATTACAGATCATGCATTTGCCTGCAGAAAAGTCCACGGATAGCAAGACTGTGTTAGAGTTATAAATATGATTCCCAAACCCAAAGCTAATTTTATTCTGTGTTTAATCCAACAACCCTCTAAAAGAGATTTCAGTACGTCTTATAGACAGTCTACAACCATCCATTTTTGCATAGCGATCCCGATTTATGTTTTCATTGTATGTATGGTAACTGAATATCATACAGATAACAGTTTCTAAATACAGTGTCATGAGCTCATAAACGTGATGTAGAATAAAATGCTAATTATCAAAACTCTGCACCTAAAAAATCAAAACAAATAAGTTGAATTAACCTTCCAGAGTATTTTTGTAAAGTAGGTCAAAGGTCATATGAACTTTAACACTGTTTTTTTTTTTCGTAATATTTTATGACAAACTGCACATGCTAAATATCATAGATTTACCTCTTAAATGTGAAAAATATTCTGTATGTACATATAAAGTATTTTGAAAAATAGGTCAAAGGTCATGAGGTCGGTAACCATGGTATTTTACAAAAGCTATAGTGCCAAGCAATAAATGTGCAAAATGTCAATTCCGTATCTATTAAGGTTATCACGATGTAAGGTGTGGCATATGGATAGACAGACAGACGCCGGTGAAAGTTATCCCTCAGTGTCGCTCTACTCTGCAGGCGACAGAAAAAATAGCTCTAACCCTTTCTTATTTCTTCAGAGCCAAATTGCAATGGATATATTTTATTATATGTGTCAGATAATGAGTCTTTGGGCTTTGGGATGCGTAGGCCCAAAAGTAGGTCACTGTGACTTAGCATTATTCTTAAGGTATGTCACTCGTGAAATTAGTTATATCAAGGATTTTTTGAGAAGTATATTTTAAATAAGTACTCATATAGCATGACTCAAAATCACAAAGAAAATGGGGGGTCAGTGTGCATCCTACCGAACTAGGGTACAATTAAGTTGACCTTTTTGCACTTAAATTGTAACTCTTTGGTTAATCACTTTAATCTTTATCATATTTTATCAGATGTAATATTGGCAATGAATATAATCTTATTTTACGTAAAATAGTTTAAATGATATTTATCATTGAACAAATCATGCAAATTAATGCGCATAAATTATTGTGTGACCTTTTTGCACTAAAAAAGTATCATATCTGGGGTATAAAATATCTAAATAGGCAATAAAATATTTTCTTGTATCAAACTTTTTATGACTTAAGTGCTGATCGGTTGGAAGTATCTTGTTGTTTAAAATTATGAAAGAAAAAGTTGGGGTCAGTGATGTAAATTTTGAGATATTGGTCAAAATTTGCGATTTTCAGGCAAAAAACGGTGTAAATTTTATTTCGACTTTTTTAATATATCTTTATTTCTTGGCGAAGTCTGTTGAGTGAATGTATAAAATTTATTCTAAAAATATAAATTGAGACCTATATTTAATATTCCTAGCATATCATAAAGGAAAATTTTCTCTAAGTAAAAATATGTGGGGCTATAGTTCCAAGACATTAGATTTAACAAATGTGGAGATTTGAAGAATTTTCTTCTAAATATCCTTCCACCACAAGAAATAGTCCCTCATAAATCTTGCTTCTTTATTAATTTCTGAGCAGTTTTTTCATTGAATGTTGAATAATTTGCATTGTTTAATTTAAATATGTTACAAAAATTGAATTGTAATAAACTGTTTTGAAGCTAAGGGTTCTGACTGAACTTTTCTAAAAAGCTGACGAGTGACATACCTTAAGTCAGGTCTAGAGTCATCAAAACTTGTTTATTGATGCATCTCTGGGTGTGTCTACCCAAAAGTAGGCCCGCTACTATGGCTATTCTTAGTACACTCTGCAGTGGCCTTAAATTGTCAATTTTTTGCCCCCGTATCAAAGATTCGGGGGTATATAGTTTTTGCCCTGTCCATCCGTCTGTCTGTTTG